CCTCATCCCTCCCCCAATTTCAACAAACATTTCTCTCTTTCCCACTTTCTTTGTTCTCTTTCTCTTTCTCTTTTCATTGACTTTTAACCCCCCCCTCCCCCCCTCTCTCTTTTTCTCTCTCACTGCCCTCTAACTTTACCAGAGCAAAGTTGGGGCTTGATTCCCGGCCTGCTTTTGTCGGTTCAACAGCAACATTGCAAAGTTAGGGCAGATTTTGACTGTCAGAAACTTGTTTTCCCAAGCTTTTTGTATTAAGAATAAATATTTTCGGTCTGTGCGATGAGATGGGTTAGGAATATATGTATATATATACATATATATATATATATATATATATATATATATATATATATATATATATATATATATATATATATATATATATATGTATATATATATATATATATATATATATATATATATATATATATATATATATATATATATATATGTGTGTGTGTGTGTGTGTGTGTATGTGTGTGTGTGTGTGTGTATGTATATATATATATATATATATATATATATATATATATATATATATATATATATATATATATATATATATATATATATATATATATATATATATATATATATATATATATATACATATATATATATATATATATATATATATATATATATATATATATATATATATATGTATATATATTTGTATGTATTTGAGTGTGTGTGTGTGTGGATAGATAGATAGATAGACATATGAATGTATACATATATATATATACATATATATATATATATATATATATATATATATATATATATACATATATATATATATATGCGTGTGTGTGTGTGTGTGTGTGTGTGTGTGTGTGTGTGTGTGTGTGTGTGTGTGTGTGTATGTGTATACATTTACAGATATAGATATATAGATATATATAGAGATACACACACACACATACACACAAACACACACAATACATATATATATATACATACATATATATATATATATATATATATATATATATATATATATATAGATAGATAGATAGATAGATAGATAGATAGATAGATAGATAGATAGATATAGATATATACAGAAACAAGAAGAAAAAATACAGATAGAAGAAAGGACACACACATACACACACACACACACAATACATATATATATATATACATACATATATATATATATATATATATATATATATATATATATAGATAGATAGATAGATAGATAGATAGATAGATAGATAGATAGATAGATAGATATATACAGAAACAAGAAGAAAAAATACAGATAGAAGAAAGGACATTTTATAAGAAGGTGTATATATACACAGATGAATACAGTTCTTTCCATGATTTGATTTATCGCGTGGATTGCAGAGGAACCGAAAAACTTTTTTTATCGAATGAACACCGCATCTGCAACATTTCCTTCTCCCGTCGGTCCGAAAAACGCTCCTCATGCTTTTCTTTCAAAATCATTTCCAAAAATGGCGTTTGCAGCATGTGATTGGGAAAATTCGGAGGTTGATGTGTTTCGTTGTTGAAGAAGAAAAGGGAAACAGTGATGGGAAGGCAGGATAAATGTTATGGCAGCATTGCAACGAGTGCTTTCGCTTCCCTTCGTGAGACGCGTTTACCAGATGCTAATTTGACGTTGCATTTAATCTATTGTTTCTTCTTTGTGTTTAATTATATGTATAAATATATTGGAAAATCTTCAAGTGTGTGGTATGTTGTCATAGGTAGGATTTTTTTTTTTTTTTTTTGAGGAATAGCCTTGAAAAGCTTCTCTGTTGCCTTAAGAATAGTCACCGCGTCACTTTAAAAATTCAAGCCTTGTAACCTTGTGGATATTTCTATACAGAAGCTAACGATTGACAGCAGTAGCATTCAGAAGAAACATGAATAGTGAAAACTCCCCTTGTACTTCTATTCTAACTTACACGAGGAAATCGACTCCCCGCATTCCCTTATATTATGGAATAATAAATGGTTGTGAGATAATCGAGGTTTCTTCTTGTTCTTATTCTTATTTCCAACGATTGCATTTACCCACAGCTTCAGAAACCAATGCTATATACATGAAAAAACACCCTTCATGCCCATAAGGTGTTTTAATGTCAGGTTATAGTCAGGATTATAGTTCAGGTTATTGCCGGTGTCTGCAGGATGCACTGAAGCAACGAGAACAGGCAGATCGAACCTTGCATGCCGGATATTAGGTTGCATTTGCCTCTGCTGCTTCGAAAAGACTTTTGCAACTCATTTGTGAATATGATTTTTATGACAGCAGTGCTATCGTAGTAATAAAAATATTCTTCCCGTCGCAGCAAATGTCATTAACAAGTCATTAACGTATCGAAGTAACGGTTCAAGGCGCAAGTCAGGATAGTTATATCCCTTTCTTTGCGACGAAAGTTGTAAATGCGCAGAAATCTTGCTAAGGAAAGAAACTGAAGTATTTTTAGATTTCTTCACAATAAATATGACGATGAATAATGGGCGAAGAAAGCGAGATGTAGATTCGTTCTTTCAGTTTTTTAAACATAATTCACAATAAATGTAGCTAATATCTATTCTTTCTTCTTTTCTTTATCTATTTTTACGAAGACGCAGAGGAACTACTACAGGGATATAAGAATGAGAGAGATGAAATAAAAACACTTTTTGGCAGAATATATCATCGATACATAAATTCGAGCGAAAGCAACGATTTCCTCTGCCAGCAAAGTCATTGTTTATTTACGAATGCCAACGGTTTTCCTAAACCAATTGCATTCCGTATCAGCCTTTTTTTTTCCTTTTAAGAAGTACGATTCATAAAGATTAGAAGGATTTGTCGTTTGAAATGTCTCAGTTTCCAAGGACAAAGGGACCAGGAAAATGGAGAAGGATATAAATTCTGAATACCAGAACGGCGACAGAAAACTGTTACGATCTGTCGCACTTTCCTCCTGAAATTCGGAAGATCGCGAATCGAGATAGCAAAGTACAGAAAACCCAGAGGAAACGGAGTAATAGGATCCGGTAGAGCGAACACTTCTAATATACTTTTCTTTCTTTTTTTTTTACAATCATGTGCTGTACTAAGGCAACATTTACTAAATAGCGTACATGTACATCTTTCGGGACATCAAGTTGTAGAGAAATAAACAAAGGTATAGCTATGGTAACCCTATTCTATGTGTCAGTCCTTCAGAATAATTAATTTAGCTGTCAGTCCAAATGCAAAATAATGATAATAATAATGATAACAACAACAACAATAATAATAATAATGTGTGTTGTGCTGAGAAGACCATTTTCAGCCAAATACGAAATTCATAATTCAAATACTGCCTAAAGAACAATATATATATTTTTTTTAATCCAGGGAGAAGAAATTAGTTGAAAAATAATACACTCGAATACAGATATGGATACGGCAATAGTTTATCTTCGATATCTCCATACTTTTGTTTATTTGTTCATTTATCTCTACAGTCTACGGTTTAAGGAAACATCAATGATTCCAAGAACACTGATACGGTGCTACATCCTCAACATTTAAAGCAACATCAAAGACAATATGGATGAGAAGCTTTGGATACAGAATCCCCTTTAACATCGAAGGCTAAAACAAAAAAAAAACAAAAAAAACAACAACAGTAAGAGCATAAACATCAAAAGAAATGAATACATAAACACAATTACATTTGCATAATCATAATTTCCATACACACAGAAAGCTAAAGCATCTAGTTAATATTTTCATACAACATTCGTGGTGTCGCGTCCTCATTAAAATGCCATTAGCGCCTCTTTCTTTTTTTTCTTTTTTGTCATTTTTTGTCGTCAACCTGATATTTATCAACTATATAAAGAACATTAACATTCAGCAACCAACAGAGATTACAGCGGGGTTGACAACGTACCAGCGATACAGAGCCCCGTCGGCCGTAGCGAACACTGGCCGGCGCCCTCCCTCACAGACTCGCAAGCAGACCGTCCGTTTCTCCAGGCTGAAGAGGAGATGGCCAGGTCGTTGCGTCGAGGGGCACGTCGGTATCAACAACTTTAGCAGTTGATCGGTCTATTCAAGATTACGGCGGACGACGCGACGGACAGCGGTCGTCGTACCACATCACTAAGCGACATTAATATCCGCTCAAGACCGCCGGTCAGTGTCCGCTGTGAGGACGGGGCTTTCGCGTCTCCTAAACATCCTCAGTGGAAGAGCACAGCCTACTGGGGGCAACTACGGATCCACAACTACATCGACGAAGCACCAGGGGAACACCCAAACTACACATTCATAAAGGAGCCACGGTGTCACAGCAACCACGGTCATTAACATCGAACAAGGGTCTACACAGCAGGAACACCGATCCAAGACACGGGATAAGGAGGTCGCCAGACACTCATAAGGGAGAAAATCAACTTTACCCAAGACTCCAGCGCGGTTGACTCACCTGTCAACCTGTCTATCTTCTCTTTCCATTTCCACCGCCTCCACCACTGTGAACAACAGCAACAACAACAGAAACAGTCAACAACCTCTAGTACTTCTCGACGAGATACAAGTAACTTATGTAATGAACTGATTTCAAACACCGTAAACAGATGATGAATTATATCACCGATGCAAATGTAAATAGCTTAAATTTTTAGGAGTAACGTTGATAAAGGTGAAAATAGAGTGATGTTACAATTATCTTTATCATTTTATGTTTATTTTCACAATTATCGTCGTCTTATTATAATCATTATAATAACAGTTTATCACGTACTTGATAACACTGAAACCAACCATACCTATCTTCCTGAATATGAAATACGTACTGCCCCATGTTCTCACAAAAATGGACAAAATCGCTCCAATAAGCAAATAGCTACTAATTGAGCAAAAAAATGAATATGAATGTACGATAAAGATAATCACTTATCACATAAACTATATATCCGAAGTGCAAAAATCGAGAAAGAAAATTACAAATACTTCTTTTAAAAAAATACTATTCTTATACTGTACTTACCTCTTCATTCTTCTCTCCTCCTCCTTTGTTTCCTTCTCCTCCGCTTTGTACACTATTCATCTTGAACTTTTGTTTTGATTACCGTCTCTGTTACCTTTGATTTCTTATTTTTGTACTTCTTTTCATTCACTTTTTAAACTTTCCTTTATTTTTTATTTTGTTCTCTATTTTGATTAATGTGCTCTTTCACAACCACTTTTGGAATTGTTTGATTTTATCCTTTTTGATATCTATCAGTCACTCTGAAACACTAACTAGCCCGTGTAGGAGGGGGAGGGGGTGTGGGATAAGGGGTGTGGGGGGGCTCGGGGTGGGGGGCACAGGCGATGGACGATTGGTGTCCTGCGATCCTCCTTCAGTTATGGTTCTCGTGGTTCTCGTTTCAGTCACTGATCGGGTAACGGATCACGCGAGGTCATCCCAGGTTCACGGTCGTTTCCATATCAACAACTAGTCTCTTGCACCACAGCTGGACGATCAGCCTCCAACAGCACAGGTCACTAAAGGTCGAAGCACGCGGCACTAAGAGAGATCCTGACTCGAAAATCGCGACAGCCACGGGTCAGACCAGAGCCTAGCTGTGACCTACGCGTCTCTGGTGCCGACCTGCGACTAGGGGAGCGGCGAGAAGGGGAAGGACTCGGGGAGAGATAAGACGCCAGGGTGTGTGTTAGGGTGACAAGGGTGATAAGCTGCGGGGAAGATCCGTTACCACGAGCCAAAGTGACCCTTAACAAGCACCTTCTGCTTTACACTAAACACACAGAACTTCGGTTACTCGATAGGTCCTCTTCCCACTTCCTTTCCTCGTAAAATTCGCCTGCGTTGAGAGTGCGGATGACACTGGTCTCCTTCGCGCTCCGTTTGCCTACGCTGATCTGGAAAGAAATGAAAAAAGGAAATTAATTCGGAGAAATAGAGCTTGATAGATTCATGTCTTTGATTGATCGTGATCTAAATATTTTAGTGAATGAAGGTCATTTTTCTCTCTCTTTTTCTCTTTTTTTTCTCTCTGTCTTTCTCTATCTCAGCCCCCCCCCCCCCCCCCCCCCAAAAAAAAAAAACATCATGCTCTTTCTATACACCTTCCTCTTTCTACTTTCTTTCCCTCTGCGGATATTTTCCTCTCAATCTAAACTAAAACAGCAACAGTGACGTTTCTAAATTATTCTAATAGCACGGTAGCATCCTCTACGGATCCTAAAAGCAACGTGGTATTCCTATAGCTCTCAGTAGCTCTATCTGGTTCTCTCGCCTCCCCCGCCCCCGTTGCCTGTGAGGGTGACAGACGTTCGTCACCAGCATAAATTATGCGCGGCTACAATGCTAATTAGCTGATAATAGCCAGTCTCTTGAGATTAAGTCATGGCTTACTGTTTTTTTGTATGTGTGTGTGTTTTTTGTGTTATTTTTGTTGGTTGTGTTTTCTTTTTGCTGGGGAAACTCTTTGAATAGTGATCGTTCATTCATGAATTACATTTTGCAAAGGACATTTTGTTTTGTCTAACAGTTTCTCTCTCTCTCTCTCTCTCTCTCTCTCTCTCTCTCTCTCTCTCTCTCTCTCTCTCTCTCTCTCTCTCTCTCTCTCTCTCTCTCTCTCTCTCTCTCTCTCTCTCTCTTTGTCTATCTACCTATCTATCTATCTATCTTACTATCTATCTATCCATATCTTTCTCCTTCTCTCTCTCTCTCTCATTCCTACTCTTTCCTCTTCTTGCCTTCCCCTTTACAGACCCCCGCATAACCCCCAAAGCAGCTGTCTAATTAACAACGAAACCTTCCTTCCTCTCTCGCGAAATATTTCCCCGAATCCGCGGGCCACCACCGGAACCAAGACGCCGACGCAAGTGGCCAAAGGAGAACGATCTTGGGAAGTTATCAAATTACGCTAAGAGGCGGGTGTGCGTCCGCGGTATCAGGTCGAGCCGCCGATACCCGCCTGGGGAGGTTAGGGAGAGGGGGGAGAGGAGGGAGGAGAGGGGGAGAGGGGAGGTGTTACGGGAGAGGGGGGAGAGGAGGGAGGAGAGGGGGAGAGGGGAGGTGTTACGGGAAAGGTGGAGAATGAAGGGGGGAGAGGAGGTGTTATGGGGAAGAGGGAGGTGGTAGGGAAAGGAAGACGTGTTAGGGGAAGGGAGAGGACGTAGGGAAAGGGGGAGGATGAAAGGGGAAGGGGATGCGTTAGGGGAAGGAGGGGGATGTTAGATGAAGAGGAGGAGTAAGAAGGAAGTGAAAGAAAGGGGGGGGGGTATGGGGGAGATGTCAGGGGGGTAGAAAGGAGGTAAAAGGAGACGAGGGAGCTTTAGTGGCTTTCTTCGACCCATCGGCCGGGGGAAGATCGCCTTCCCTTGTTATCTCTCCCGTCGCCACCATCGGGACATGTACACATACACACACACAGGAGAGAGAGAGAGAGAGAGAGAGAGAGAGAGAGAGAGAGAGAGAGAGAGAGAGAGAGAGAGAGAGAGAGAGAGAGAGAGAGAGAGACAGACAGACAGAGAGA